CATGGGAAGGCGGGGATCGGTTGGGGGCTCAGCCCCCACGCTGGGTGGGTGCTGCTGAGCTGGGGTGGATGGGGATGCTCGGAGCCCAGGGAGCTGCACCCATATGCTGGCACCTCCAACGGGGAAAACCCACCCCAAAAGCAGCGCACAGCCCATGCTGCGAGCAGCACCCCGAAATAGACAGGGTTTGAGGGAAAGGTGAGCAGCCTTGACAAGAGAAGACCTGAGAAAGGAGAGGAATGACATTCCTCTGCTATCATTTTGGCTATTTACCTTCTCCTTCAGGCAATTATTTTAGGGAGAGAAGCGAGACACCACACCAAGGCAAGCCACAGAGCTGCCATGGCTTGGCTGTGCAGCCCTGGGGACTCACAGGTTGAGAAACAACCACCCAGCCCTGACACAAGTCATGCCCAAACAGGGACAGCCACGAACAGCAGCAGCCTGTCCACATGGGGCTGAGATGATGGTGCCACTCGGGGTGACACCGCTCGGGGTCGTGCATCCCACGGCTGCCTCTGACGCTCCCCCTGCCCGGCTGCTATTCCTGTGCACCTTTCCCCAGCAATGGTGGAAGGTTGGGTTTGCTAAGCAGCACAAGGAGCCTGCAAACAGCATTTTCAAATCTTCTTCAGTCTCCTGACCTCCTTTTCCAGCATGGCTCCAGTGAGCTTCTCCCGAGCCGTGCCCCATGTCAGGCAGGTAGCACAGGCAGGGGCTACTGCCAGCAGGCTGGCGCAGGGCAGGCACGCTCAGCGCACACCCAACGGCTCACACCACTCCGAACACATTAAAAACACATCCAAGGCTGATGCCAAACTGAACAAATCCTGCTCCTTGGCTGCGTTTTTCCATCCTCCCTCCCCTTGCCAAGGATGAGCTGTCAACAAGAAGGTCACAGTCCCACCTGCCGGGAGTGAGACACGGGAACGTCCCCGGGGACGGGCTGTAACATGGAGCAGTGGGATGAAACCGGTGCTGCAGCAGGCTGCTGTGTGCCCAGCCTATAAATAGAGGCCTTCAGTGGAATTAATTTTAACTATGGCTGCTGTCAGCAAAAACAAACCCTCTTGGTGATGTGTGCAGATGGGAGTCTCACCGTATTTTTCATTGAAAAGCTCTTTCACTTGCTCTCGGAGAATCACCTTCTCTCCGAGCCTGTTGGCATCGTCCTCATCTGCAAAGCAAAAAAAAAGGACAGGGAATAAAACACCCCGTTTCTTTCTGAACCCCCGGAAAAACCATCCCACTGTCACAACGCATGACTGTGTCTCTCTGTCCCAGCATGGTGTGGGGACATCTCCGCGGTGGCTGCTCAGAATTTGCACCTTCTAGAGCCGTGCCAAGTAGCTATAAAATGCTGCCAAATCTGCATTTGCCACGCGCCACCACGGCTGAGAGCGTTTTACATCTGCTCTGCGGTGCTGGCAATGACTGCAGAATATGCAAAGCGATGGAGACTCAGGCCCTCGGTGCCACCAGTGCTCCCACAAGTGATATCAAGAAATGAGATAGCACTTTTATAGCTGGGCTCCTATGTACAGTATTGTTTCATAATATGCCATATAATCAGCTTGGCTTTACTAGCTTTTTAAATTATCCTCATCGTGCCAAACAGTTTCTCCCCCGTTCTCTCATTTCAAGCAATGTGTCTATGTCAGTAGATTTCCGCCCCCTCC